AATTTTTGGATTGACACATTCATGACACATTCAGTAACTTGTGTTTGTAAAATCAATTGTTTCCCCCCCAAAATAGGAATGTTTCTATTGACTTTTATGCACATTGCACTATTCATCTCTCAGAACTTCAAATAAACACTATTTATTTTTGACAAGATCCAAATAAAGCGCATAAACTCCCTCAGCTTAATAATGCCAAATGCCAAAAAAAATTTGCCTTGAGATTCCTTATAATATTATTAACTACTATTATCTAATTCATTCTGGGTGGAGATGATAGCCTAACATAATGAGAAAGCATCTATTTGGAGCCCCTGCTTTTATTTCAGTGTTTTAAAAAAACCTGGTGGGAATCATCTTCTCTGCACTGACCTGTATAATCTAATTTCTTTTTCATATTGGCTGCCAAGAGTTGCTATGGTGAAGAAACTAGCCATATTTGTCTTATTTATTTATACTTTTATTTGTTTATCATCCCTCTTTTTCTTAAATAGGCTGTTGGGAGGCCTTTCACACACAACTTATAAAAAGCAGGTTCTGCTCGTTCCTTTGGAAAATGACTTGTAACTAATCTGCACAGCTACCTCAAAATATGATCTTTGATGAACCAGCCACACAGATATTTCCATGTTTATCCAAAGTAGATCAATACAGAAAGAAATAAAGACACAGTTGAGACCATCATTTGTGACTTAAAAAATTCAATAAACTGGACTGTAGCTCCTGATAGCTATAATGCTTCTGCTGACCAGTTAGCCAAACTATAATAAACCAGACCTCTTATTCATATACAGAGGAAAACTGATTCCTCCCCACCCACAAGTAGTTAAAAAAGCCATACACACTAAGGAATGCTACATGAACACATCACTTGATCCAAATTCTCATTCTCGGTTTTACAATCCAGTCTATGATGTTGGAATGAACCGGAATATATTATTCCTTTCAATGCTAATTTGAGAAAAGTATTTCATACTTCAGCTACTCCATATATGGAACTGTAGCTTTAAATGGTACGATTTATTGATTTTTGAGAAAATACGAACCACTATTTCCAGATTTGGGGAGCATGACCAGGAATGATCAGCATCCGTTATTGTTAATTTGCATGTCTGTTGCCATGGCTTTCCTTACACTACCCCCTGAAAGAAATGCTATAAAAGAGTTTTCAAATTTGATTATAAAAATCAAAACCAGAAAAATAAGTGCTGACTTAAATGCCATTATTGGATAATATGCAAGGTGTTTCTATCACCTCATTTCACATCCAGAAATAGATTTCTACTGAAACTACAGCAAAGGCTGAGCAGAAAAAAAATTAGCTGAGATCCTGAATCCAACAATTTGAAGATCTCTCTCACTCTCACACATACACATAAGCACCTATGTGAATAGACAGACTATTAAGAATCAGCAAGAAATCCAGCATGCAGTTTAGCACCATTTTCTGCTATAAAAAACTGAAAAACCTTCCCGTAACCTAGCAACTATGGTATAGCAGAAATATGAAATCCTTCTTCCTGTTACATAAAGTAAAGCCTGCTTCACATCACCATTTCTATCTAACAACTGGCATTTTATTTATATTGCTGTAAAAATGTAAAGCTATTCTTCATAGCAATCATAAAGCCGGTATCTTATTTTCTATTGACCATGGCCTACAATAAAATGGAAAAGGAAAAGAAATCTCATACTTAAAAACTGGTCAGTTCATCTAATCTAAGAGCAAACCATGATTTAGACTATAATCTTTAATACATGAAGGTCAATAATATCATGTAAATAAAACAAATATGAGAATTCCAAAGAGGAACAAAGATCAAGTTTTCGCACTTTTAAATGCTTTAGAAACATTTTCAACACAGTATAACCTTTTTTGGGGGAAAAGATAACAATTCAACAGTCAAAATTTAGAACTCCTGAATATGAACCAAGATTTTAGCAACATTTAAGCAACAGTCACCCAATGTACATGGGTATACACACATCTTTTTTCTAATTTTAAAGGCAACTGAAAAGCTCTTTCCTTTAATGAAATTAAGGTGTTAAATTAGCAAGAATGAGATGGAATCATCCAGTTGTTAGCAATCCTAGCTAGCATAGGCAATACTATACTGAAGGATGTTTCCCCTACTCCTGTTCTGAGACTTATAGCATGTATTTAGCCAAAGAAAATCCAGGTGGATACAACTAAGTCTAAAGAGATACACTAAAAGATAGATAAATAAACATTTTAAACAGTAATGCAACAAAGCCTCCATTCAAATAACCTAAGGGGCAGGTGGTCAATGAAGATATTTTCTTTAAAATACTATTCCTTGGATCTAGCTGTTCTATTAGGCATTTCAGCATTTTAAAGAATGAGAAGGCCCAAATAACTGATTAGCATTAGCATCCAAGTCCTCTTGGATTTCTGTTCAAAGAGGGCTTTTGCACAACATCATCTTGTGTGACAATTGTGAACTTTTCTGCAACGGGAGGCATTACTTACTGCCACTCATCCCTTAATCATCTCTGGATGAAATTACTGCTATGACCTCTAATAGGCCTTGAAGAGCATTCAGAGAAATTACAATTGGTCCATTACTCATATTGATGTAGTTATGTGTGTGCCTTGTGGCGCTCATGTTACATCTTGTCGCCTTCAAGACCTATATAGTTTACATAGTTGGGTATCTGCTAGATGGCTTTCTCCAAATAACACTTGCCTGTTCAGTAAGATGTAATTGAGTTGGCTGTTTATATGTTCCTTTGACCAGAGGCCATCATCTTCAAGTATCCGAAAAGCATACATTTTCAGTCATTGCTTCCTTCTATGGAGCAGTACAGGTGAAACTCAAAAAAATTAGAATATCATGCAAAAGCTCAGTTATTTCAGTAATGCAACTTAAAAGGTGACACTAATTTATGAGATAGACTCATTACATGCAAAGCAAGATAGTTCAAGCCATGATGTGTCATAATTCAGATGATTATGGCTTACAGCTCATGAAAACCGCAAATCCACAATCTCAGAAAACTAGAATATTGTGAAAAGGTTCAATATTCTAGGCTCAAAGTGGCCCACTTTAATCAGCTAATTAAGCCATAACACCTGCAAAGGGTTCCTGAGCCTTTAAATGGTCTCTCAGTCTGGTTCAGTAGGAAGCACAATCATGGGAAAGACTGCTGACCTGACAGTTGTGCAGAAAACCATCATTGACACCCTCCATAAGGTGGGAAAGCCTCAAAAGCTAACTGCAAATGAAGTTGGATGTTCCCAAAGTACTGTATCAAAGCACATTAATAGAAAGTTATGTGGAAGGGAAAAGTGTGGAAAAAAAAGGTGCACAAGCAGCAGGGATGACCGCAGCCTGGAGAGGATTGTCAGGAAAAGACCATTCAAAAGGAGACTTGGGGACTTTCACAAGGTGTGGACTGAGGCTGGAGTCAGTGCATCAAGAGCCACCACACAGATGGATTGTGGACATGGGCTTCAAATGTCGTATTCCTCTTGTCAAGCCGCTCCTGAACAACAAACAACTTCAGAAGCGTCTTACCTGGGCTAAAGAAAAACAGACCTATTCTGTTGCTCAGTGGTCCAAAGTCCTCTTTTCCGATGAGAGCAACTTTTGCATCTCATTTGGAAAGCAAGGACCCAGAGTCTGGAGGAAGAATGGAGAGGCACACACTGCAAGGTGCTTGAAGTCCAGTGTGAAGTTTCCAGTCTGTGTTGATTTGGGGAGCCATGTCATCTGCTGGTGTTGGTCCACTGTGCTTCATTAAGTCCAGGGTCAACGCAGCCATCTACCAGGAGATTTTGGAACACTTCACTCTTCCTTCTGCAGATGAGCTTTATGGCGATGCTGACTTCATTTTCCAGCAGGATTTGGCACCTGCCCACACTGCCAAAAGCACCAAAACCTGGTTCAATGACCGTAGGATTAATGTGCTTGATTGGCCAGCAAACTCGCCTGACCTGAACCTCATAGAGAATCTATGGGGTATTGCCAAGAGAAAGACGAGAGACATGAGACCAAACAATGCAGAAGAGCTGAAGTCCCCTATTGAAGCATCCGGATCTTCCATAACACCTCAGCAATGCCACAGACTGATAGCTTCCATGCCACGCCGCATTGAGGCAGTAATTGCTGCAAAAGGGGCCCAAACCAAGCATTGAATACAGTATGCATGCTTATACTTTTCAGAGGTCCGATATTGGTCTATGTACAATCCTTGTTTTATTGATTGCATGTAATATTCTAATTTTCTGAGATTGTGGATTTGGGGTTTCATGAGCTGTAAGCCATAATCATCACAATTATGACAAATCACGGCTTGAACTATCTTGCTTTGCATGTAATGAGTCTATCTCATATATTAGTTTCACCTTTTAAGTTGCATTACTGAAATAAATGAACTTTTGCACAATATTCTAATTTTTTGAGTTTCACCTGTATTCCACCTCCCAAGAGATCTGAATATCTCCCTTCCTTTCTGATCTTCAGAAAATTTGTGAAGTTTTATTTATTTTATTTAATTTTCTTCTTCTCCCAATTTTATGTTATTACCAGTTGTGTCTTCCAATATTATGTTACTACTAGTATTATAATGTATGATTTGTTTTTAAATTAGCTTTTTATTGTTTTTAATCCCATTTATATATTAGGACTTGTATGCCACAGATAGTGAGCTGACTAGAGCAGCTCTAAGCCATGTAAATAACAAATATTGCCTTTCTATTCAGTTGAATCTGGGGACTATTTTTTCCTTATCCCAATTTTTACACAATTCTTTACTACACACCGATCACACATAAATCAATTAATCAGCTTTGTTTTATAAAAATGTCTCTCTATATAAAATGAAATGCTTCCCCCCCACCACCGCCAAGAAAAAGCGATATGCCAAAGTAGAAAAGCATGATGCTCATAGTTTAAGGAACAAAAGAAAATTTAAAACAATCTTAAAGACACTACATCATTGATTTAATCTTATTTGAAGAAAATACTACTACTCACCACCAGCTCCCTGAATCATGGTGCCTGATTTCTGGACCTCATCAAATTTTGTAAATATGATGTTCAACCTGGTTTGAAAACAAATGAATAATGATTTTGGCAGTACTTAAATGACATCCAAATAAGGCACATTTCTGCCTCTAATTTTAAGTCCTTTTTTAAATTAAATGTAAATGATAAATGAAAACAAAAAAGAGATTAAAATGTTTAAAGAATAGGAAATTTCAAACTTGTACATAATTTGAACTGTATACCTCATTCATTACCCTGAGAAAATTTAGTCCATTATTCAATCTTTTAATTTACTGAAACAAAAGATACAGGTAGTCCTCAACTTATGATTGGTCATTTATAGTGATGGACAATGAAATCCAAAAAAGCTACTTAGGACCAAAAGCTCCAACATCTGGGACTCCCCCTCTGTGGTGACATGATCACATTTTAGTCTCACATTCACAGTAGCAATTTATGGCCTTTTTGTGGAAGTTGGTGTTTACTTTCCAGCAAAAAATGTTCTAGAATGAATAATGGATTCACTTTACGACTTCTATTTTTGCTTAAAGACTGCTACAATAAGGTTATAAAATTGGGTCTAGTCATGTGGTGACCTCCTTGAAAATCATCACAACTTACCACCAAAATTGTGGACTCAACTGTACACTGAAGACTACCTATACTTCATTTTCCAGGAACATAACACAAACAAAATGCCACTATTTCAGAACATGTTGTATTTTATTCTCCTTATTTTCATGATAGTATCATAACTGAGAATTGTCTTAACAAATCCTTACAATAATCTGATTTTTTAAGAAAAAAAGTGGACCTAACAAATGAACAAAAGCTCAGAAAGAGAACTTTTTCACTCACCGAGACTGTGGCAATCCCTTTTTGCTGAGATCAGCTCTTACACGTTCACCTACATGTCTGTAGATTTCTACAAGGCTATTTATTGCTGCATCACGAACCTAATCATTAAAAAATAACAAAGGAAAATATTGTTACATATTGCGGTTTATGATCTATTTATGTTTAAAAATAGCTATACTTAATTTTAAGGCTTTAGAGATCACAACAGGTTCATCTTCATTTAGTTTCCTTGAAATGACCATAGTTAGCATAAATCAGTATTCTCAACAACATCCAGGCAAGAAATCATAATTAAATGAAAACGCAAATTTTCAAAGTTCTTCTGAAGGAACCCATGATTCTTAAAAGCTTAGTGTAATTCATGCTAATAGCCTGTCTTGCTATATCATACCTTACTGGGAAATAATTTCTATACAGGTAGTTCATGACTAATGACCGGTCACTTAATCACTATTCAAAATTACAACAAACCCACCAGGAGACTACTTATAAGTGAAATTCAAAAAATTGGAATATTGTGAAAAAGTTCATTTATTTCAGTAATGCAACTTAAAAGGTGACACTAATATATGAGGTAGACTCATTACATGCAAAGCAAGATAGTTCAAGCCGTGATGTGGCATAATTGAGATGATTATGGCTTACAGCTCATGAAAACCCCAAATCCACAATCTCAAGATTATTGAGAATATTATTACAATATTGTGAAAAGGTTCAATATTCTAGGCTCAAAGTATCCCACTCTAATCAGCTAATTAAGCCATAGCACTTGCAAAGGGTTCCTCAGCCTTTAAATGGTCTCTCAGTCTGGTTCAGTAGGAATCACAATCATGGGAAAGACTGCTGACCTGACAGTTGTGCAGCAAACCATCATTGACCCCGTCTATAAGGAGGGAAAACCTCAAAAGGTAATTGCAAAAGAAGTTGGATGTTCCCAAAGTGCTGTATCAAAGCACATTAATAGAAAGTTATGTGGAAGGGAAAAGTGTGGAAGAAAAAGGTGCACAAGCAACGGGGATGATTGCAGCCTGGAGAGGATTGTCAGGAAAAGACCATTCAAAAGTGTTGGGGACTTTCACAAGGAGTGGACTGAGGCTGGAGTCAGTGCATCAAGAGCCACCACACATAGATGGATCCTGGACATGGGCTTCAAATGTTGTATTCCTCTTGTCAAGTCGCTCCTGAACAACAAACAATGTCAGAAGCGTCTTACCTGGGCTAAAGAAAAACAGACCTAGTCTGTTGCTCAGTGGTCCAAAGTCCTTTTTTCTGATGAGAGCAACTTTTGCATCTCATTTGGAAAGCAAGGACCCAGAGTCTGGAGGAAGAATGGAGAGGCACACACTGCAAGGTGCTTGAAGTCCAGTGTGAAGTTTCCAGAGTCTGTGTTGATTTGGGGAGCCATGTCATCTGCTGGTGTTGGTCCACTGTGCTTCATTAAGTCCACGGTCAACGCAGCCGTCTACCAGGAGATTTTGGAGCACTTCATGCTTCCTTCCATATATGAGCTTTATGGGGATGCTGACTTCATTTTCCAGCAGGACTTGGCACCTGCCCACACTGCCAAAAGCACCAAAACCTGGTTCAATAACCATGGGATTACTGTGCTTGATTGGCCAGCAAACTCGCCTGACCTGAACCCCATAGAGAATCTATGGGGCATTGCCAAGAGAAAGATGAGAGACATGAGACCGAACAATGCAGAAGAGCTGAATTCCCCTATTGAAGCATCCTGGTCTTCTATAACACCTCAGCAGTGCCACAGGCTGATAGCTTTCATGCCATGTTGCATTGAGGCAGTAATTCCTGCAAAAGGAGGCCAAACCAAGTACAGAGTACATATGCATGCTTCTACTTTTCAGAGGTCCGATATTGGTCTATGTACAATCCTTGTTTTATTGATTGCATGTAATATTCTAATTTTCTGAGATTGTGGATTTGGGGTTTTCATGAGCTGTAAGCCATCATCATCTCAATTATGACAAATCACGGCTTGAACTATCTTGCTTTGCATGTAATGAGTCTATCTCATATATTAGCTTCACCTTTTAAGGTGCATTACTGAAATAAATGAACTTTTGCACAATATTCTAATTTTTCGAGTTTCACCTGTATGACCCAGATTTGAACTTCTGACATTTCATCTCTGCCTGTTTTCACATTAAAAAGCTTTGGGAACCGGGCAAAATGTTGCATTTATGTGTGTTTTCAGCATCCTGTGATCATGCAATCATGTTTTATGGCACTTTTGCTGATAATGGCATTTACTTCTGGTTTTCAGCAAAAGCATGCCCAAACAACTGTATTATTTACTTAAGAACTAATGCAGATGCTTTACAACTATTGTGCTCACTTAATGACCATTGCAAAAAAGTCATAAAATCAGTTTGATCATATAATCAGCCTACTTCATGACCATTACAATTTACAACCTTGATAGTCAGACTCCATTACAGTTTAAGTCGCAGATCACAAAACCTAGATTATTTTGTAAGAAATCCTCCTTCTAAGGCATTGATATACAATTCCTGCACTTTAAGGGGCAATATAGAGTTATGTTTCCCTTCTGAATAAACCATTTCAACCATATTGTGATTCATATTCGAAGTATGTAATGATACAGGTCTCACGCTCATCCTCATTTTCTGTAAGAGTTGTGTTGACAGAAATAGCGCTTAATTAAAAGGTTCTTGGGAGAGGACTAAGGATCCCTCATTTCAGCTCTGAGCTACGAATATTTTCTTTATTTTATAGCTCTTAATTATTTATACCAAAGGGCAGAGAACAAAATATACTTTACAGATCTATTTCTATATCCATCTATTGACCTCAGCTCTTATGGATAGCTTACACAAAGACCCACTTTTCATATTACGTAAACATATACTTAAAATTACTTCTATAAGTAGGATCAAATTCCTATACAGGTAGTCCTCAACTTATAACAGTTTATTTAGTGACTGTTCAAAGTTACAATGGCACTGAAAAAAGTGACATGACCATTTTTCAGAGTTACAACCTTTATAGCATCCCCATGATCATATGATCAAAATTCAGGTGCTTAACAATTGGTTCATACTTAGACCATTGTTGTGTTCTAAGGTAATGTGATCACCTTTTGCAACTTTTTGACAAGCAAAGTCAATGGGAAAACCTGATTTACTTAAGAACTGGGTTTCTAATTTATCAACTGCAGTGATTCACTTCAACAACTGTGGCAAGAAAAGTTGTAAAATGGGGCAAAACTCACTTAACAAATGTCTCACTTAACAACAGAAATGTTGGGCTCAATTCTGGTCGTAAGACAAGGACTACCTGTAGTCCCCTCTCCTCCTCCACTTCTTCCTTTCTCTTGGTAGTAAGGTTCTTCTTGACACCACCCTTACATAGAAGCAGGTTTATTCATACAACTGAACTAGAAACGATGTTTTAAAACCAGTTGCAACTAATTTTAAACAAGTTAATTATAGACCTGATAGGTCTGCATATTTAGGCAGCCAAGGTTTGCTTTGAATTCCAATCTCAAGTATACCAAACAGATCATAAGCTGTGTATATATTTGGTGTAGAATTAAACTGGAAATAAAAAGGGAGGGGAACGCTTATGATTTGAGTTTTTACTGGAATTTATTTCTGCATGTACATTTCCTGCTTACCTGAGAACCAGATTATAGTGGTTCTTCCCACTACCATTTCCCCACATCATCTTTCCCATCTACAAGGGTACTACAAAGGTAATAACTATATTCTTACAGGAAAAAAACCCTGCTAAAACAAGCCAATTGGCTTTAGACACCATGGCCAATTATCCAATTAAAGAAAACTTCACTGAGTAATAGATGTATTTGTATATTTCAACATAATTTTTCCTTGTTTTTCAATAATGTCCATTCATAAAAGTCATTATTTTAACCAATTATTAAGTCAATCACAACTGGATAGGTACACACAACACAGAAAATCACAGTTTACTATTTACCCATTCATCCATGGATTATTTTTCCTTCCACCTCCCAGTAGGCAAAACAGGTAACCATGATTAAAACAGAAAGTACAGAACGTTCCAGAATGAAAGTTAAAATCAAAATAAAATTAATTAACAAATAAGAGTCAGTCTGCTAATGGTAGAATGTAAATGGAAAGAATAAATGAGTGAGTGAACAAGTAGATAAGTGAGTGGTTGGTGGAAAAGATAGCCCTTTGTAATTTTCTAAATCTAATGATAGTAGACACCAAACTCAACTCCCAAAAATAGTTCACTCCATGCCAGAAGGACTTTTTCTGTGTGGTAGATAAACAAATTTCTGACTGGAAGTATTTGTGCAAAGCATCTTTTCACACCTTAATGTGGAAGCAAAAAAACTAAAAGTGTCAAAGAGGATGTCATCATTATTCATCCAGTTACGGAGACAATTTCTGAAGGCTTTGAGAAATAATATCAGAGCAGATTAATAGAAAAGCTGGAACTGCCTAAGGAGATCACAATCCATGAAAGTGTCTGTAGTAATAAATACGTGGCAAATATAAGATGCCACAAGACATTTTGCAATGTGTTCCTGCAGAAAACTCATCTGGTAACTCTATGGTAATTTGTATGTGTACACAATTAACTATCTGACTTTCAGTCCAGTCTCTAGGACAATCGATCACATTTCAACCTTCCAGCCCTATACAAATATAAATATAAAACAAAAACGCAGAGATTAGTACTTTAATAAAAAAGGACCCCGACTTCTGGTTTGAAGGGCTTCGGTGACAGACAGAAATCTGTGATCGTGCGTGGTTTCTGTCTGGGCTCGCCGCTGGAGTGCCCCAAGCCGGCTGGTTTCAGGGCTACACCACCCCGTAGAGGTGGTGAAGAGGGGAGAGACCGCCAGCAGGGTTGAGGAGAGCCACATCTCTCCTCCTCAGCTGGCCATTACTCCCTTTCCCGAAGGCAGTTGCAGCGGTGGTCAGAAATAGCCACCACAAAGGAGAACTCGACCGGAAAAGAATGTGCAGGAGGAAGATAAGAAATGAAAGTTTTGGCTGACCGGGTTAAATTGTAAAAGCAACAACTAAGGTATCCTGGAATTTAAACTTACAAAAAATAACATCGC